CTCTTCTAGAGCCAGCCCACACTTCACCTGAGGTGTGTATTTCTTACTTTTTGTATCGAACTTACCTTTAGCAGGCTGCAGTTCACTCTAGAGCTGCCTGCACTTTGTTTGTAAATATGTATTTCTTACCTTTGTGTTAAACTTGGTGTGGGCCCTGCTCAGGCTATGGAGCTAGGCTGTGCTTTCTCTGTGGCATCTGTATTTCTTATCTGTTACATTAAACATGTTCTCACTTTCTACTGTGACTCTGCTCTTGAATTCTTTTCTGTGGTAGAGTCAAGAACCTGGTAAGAGGACAGGGTAGATTGAGGCCAGCTATTGGGCCTCCCCAGACCCTCTCCTCTGGTATCATCTTGAGGTAGGAGGGAAAAGGAGGAAGGATTTTGCTTCATGAAATCATTTACTCCATCTTGTTGCTACACACTCCTCTAGATCCTTGGAATCCTTTCTGATTAGAGGGTAGATGGGGAAAGAGGATTTGGGGGGAAGGTTTTATGGGCTGGGCTCAGAAGTGGTGCACAACTCTTCCTCTCTTATCCATTGGCCAGAACTCTGTCACATGGCCTCATTTAGCAACGAGGGAGGCTGGCAAATATTCTATCCTTGTGCCCAGGAAGAAGAAAACATTATTTCTGTTTTTTACAGGTGAGGATACTAGAGCAAAATTACCTGTTCATGGTCATAAAGCTAGTAATATATGCTACTGACTGGAGCCCTAGAACTTAGTATACTTAGTACCTCACATGATCACTTAATGACAAAACCTGTAGAGTTTGAAAAGATGATCTCAAAAGTCACCACACCTGCTTAGAATCCAGAGTCTAAGGGGAGGTTAAGTGACTTGTTAAGATCTTAAAAGCAGACTTAAGATCAGGGCTAAGCCTTCTAGAATCATAGTTCAGTAATCTTTCTATCACCCTACAGTGATCTGCTGAGCTAGTTGGCCAATAATTGGATCCTTTGCTTGTCAAGAAAAGTATGATGTGTCAGAATATCTAGAGAAAAATAATGAGCACTTGAAATATTTTATGTTGACTACCTTATTTGAAAAATATTTTTTATTTAAAGCTTAACAGAAACGAGTTTGACTATGTCATTGAATAGTAAAATTTGACTCAATGTATGTGCTTTGTTAGAAAAAATTAGTTTTTTTAAAAAAAGACTGTCTATGTAGTGTTAAGTTTTGAAATGAAATAATTAACATTTTTATTTCTATCTTTTACACTAAGCTTGTCATATCCAATATTATGATTAACTGATAACAAGTATGTTACATTTCGAAGCTTATTTTCTACTTTTGGGGTAGTTATCTTCATTTTCTGGATATGGTTTTGTATTCATTAAGCAATTATTATTCAAGTAAGTCTCATTTTATATGACAAATAGTTATCAAGTTTTTTATCTAAACCAATTTAATTTATGCTAATTTTATCAGTTTTTAAAAGATAGAGAAATTAAATTACAAGAAGATCCTTTAAGTGCAGAAAAAATGACTGGTTTATTATGACTATATTTTGGACTTAGTAAAGAAGCATCTGATTTGGAAAACCTGTTCTGCTCCAGGCCTCTAGACTTGGATCTGCAAGCTGGCTGACCCTCAAAAGTAAATGTCAGCTGTGTTCACCCTTCAGATTTTCAGATTGCAGTTTCCTGTTTTAACTTCTGTTCAGAAATAAACTTTGAAAATTTTTTCTCTATAGTTACCTAAAACTGGTATTTATTGTTTAGACACAAGTCTCTGTCAGTAACATTTTAAAATGTTATTTATAATTTTGCAGTTTTAGGTGTATTTGAGTTACTAAAGAGTCAGCTAAAACTGGTATTTATTGTTTAGACACAAGTCTCTGTCAGTAACATTTTAAAATGTTATTTGTAATTTTGCAGTTTTAGGTGTATTTGAGTTACTAAAGAGTCAATTTTGTTTATTAGCTCTTAGATGTATAACAATATTAGGATTTGGGATTGTTAGTATATATTCTAATCTTCTAAATAATGAGATTCATGTTTTAGATTATTTTTAAGCTGTTAGGTTTAGTACTAGAATATTAATAGAGTAGATTCAAGTTGTATAACAATTATTAAAAAATTAGTATTAGGTTTATAAAATAAGTAGGAAAGAAGATTTATAGGTAAACTCCTCACTGGCAAACTTGATTACTTTTTTTTAATGTACTTTTATGCGTATTTATATTTATTACACATAAATAATACAGAAGCACCTGACTAGGAACAGAATAGGTTCAGAAAAGCTTGAGTGAGTCCAAAATAATCCATTGCAGGTGAGTGCTAACACTTTCATTTGATGACAGGCAGAGTTGGTGTGATTTTGGTCTGGTGTTCAGCTTTCTTCACATGTATGAAAGTTTGTAAGCAGTTAAGTTTGTTAAAAGAAGCACTTTTATATACTTAAAGTATTTTTTAAATCAATTATTTCATGTTTTCTTTAAATTTGGGCCTTATCATTCTACAATATGGAAAAAATAAAACTCTATGAGTATTATGTAAGAAGACACTTTCTTTTCTTCATTTCAGCCATGTAAAGTTGCAGCAATCCATAGGATTAGAACCTAAAGGAAAATTTTTGGTATCCAGGTAAAATTTGAAAATAATGCATGGCTTTAATTCTGTATTCTTCAGCTTACTGATTTCATACTAAACAATTAGCTTTATTCCTGATGAAGTATAGAAAGTGCTAGTAGTCACTAAAATCTTTTTGGATTTTCTGTAGGATTACTTTTTAGGGATATTGAATTTATTAGAATTCTAAGATATGTAGTTAAGAGCAAATTTAGTTCAAATTGAATGCATTTACTTTCTAAATAATTAATTTTTATTTTATATAATAGATCAGTAAGTATATTTCTGAAAAGTGTGTAAATCAAATAACTTTTGTACTGACATTGTAATTTTAAAGGTTTTTTTTTTTTACAGTTAATATTAGTTGAACAATTTTCTTCCTCTTTATTTTATTTTGTGTGTGTGTGTGTGTGTGTGTGTGTGTGTGCTGAATGGACTTCTACCCTCAAGCAGTGAATGAATTTTAAATGAGAGCACATTTAGAAAGCAAACAATAATTTGTTTTTGAGAAAGTTCCAATATATGTTTTATAGATTCAGATTTTATTAACAGCTTTCTGTGGGTGGGAAAAGGTGAGCAGTTTGTAAGGTAAAAAGTATCACCTAGATAAACAAGTAGTGATTTTTCTTAGCCATCATGAATA